AATGGCTCCAGGGGCTTGATGGAGGGGGGGATCAGCAGTTGCCCATCAACATCCAGTGGAGGGACAGTGTTTATGACCCTGGCTTTAAACCACTCACCATCTCTTAATGACCCAACTACCCTGCCTCCAAAAGTGCAGGGCTGCAAAGTTAGATTAATCCAAGTGAGAGCTGGCAAAAGCCTGAATAAAAGCTATGGCAGTAGAAATAGGGGAAAAGAGCAGATTTATCAACCATTTCCTAAATGAAAGCAACAGGACTTGGAGGCGGGGTCTTCTTCAAGAGAACAGAAGGTGAAGTTAACTATAACTTTGAGATGTCTCATTTGGGAGGCTTAAGTAGTCATTCCTCAAAGAAGAAATTTGTCGTCTTCTCCTGTCTGATTTCCATAGAGATAATCAGTTTCTCTCAATATAAGCATCATCCCTCCTTTAAATGCAAATGGACTTTGGATGTTAGTATTTAAAGCAAATTAGTATGGACAGATATTGGTCCCTCACTGAATCGTTACTCACTGTGCTGTATGAATTTCAGGAATTTTCCCCAAATAAGTCTCTCTATTCCAAAGTAGTAATAATTGCTGCTCTTGCCTTAAATATCTTTCTGTTCATTATTTCTATCTCATATTGCACCAGATTGTCATATGCTTTTCTCAGTGGCTTTAGTTTGGTTGAGGAAACATGTTTATCATATGTTGAATGAGACTGTTGGCTTGTTCAGAAGGGACCCTGTAGGGGCCCTGCACTAACCCACTGTTAATGGAGTTTTAGCTGCACTGAAATGCAGTCAGGTTTGAAAACTTCAAGGATGCAGTACTGGATGAAAATGGTTTGGCAGTGATAGGAATGTTCTTAAAGGTAAAAAATTAAATAAATGAATAAACAAACAAACAAAAAACAAACTTGACCAATTTTAAATGACATGTGGGATTCTAAAATGAAAAGGTAGAATATTACAATTTTATCATATACTTTAATAATATGTTGGGAGTGGTAGCAGGTGGCATGGAGATTAAGGAGGGTGGGTCCCACATGGCTGCTGGGTCTAGGACTTGAACTACATGGTCAGCCATGTGGGATTCAACTGCCTTAACCACCATGCTCCAGACTCACCTATTATGAATATATTTTAAATCACCTAAAACTACACTATCCAATATGGTAGCCATAGATCATGCATGGCTGTTGAGCATTCAAAATGTGGGTAGTGTGACTGAAGAAACAAAGTTTTAATTTTACTTACTTTGAATTCATTTAAATTTTAATTTAAAAATTGATACTCAATTCAGTTATTAGAAAACTTAAGAATATTTAGAACCACTTGGGTATGTGTACATCTCATTTCAAGTATAAATTTTTTGAAATCCAAATACAGATCAAGTATTTCTTATGCATCTGAACTGGCATATGCTGTAAGTGTAATATACACAACAGATTTTCAAGCTTTGGTTTGGAAAAACAAAATGTAAGCTGTCTCATTAATCATTTTTCATGTTAATTACATATTGAAAAATGTATTATTAAAATGAATTTCATTTGTTTCTTTTTACTTTTTAATATAGCTACCAGAAATTTTTAAATTACTTGTGTAGCTTGCATTATATTTTTATTTTTAGGCACTGGCATAAAAGGATAAGTCAAAAAACAGATAAGATGTGCAATTAGGAGCTAGCCGGTGGCCGATGGTTAAGGTGCTGAATCTTACATGATTTATTTGCTTGAAAAACTAAATCTTAGACCTGGCAGCTTGAAAGATATGCTGAGCATATGTGCATGCATGCCCAAAAATCCCCAGAGGAGAATGGAGAAGGGACTGTAGTGTGGCTGTCCTACGGGAGGTGATTTCTCACTTTCTCTGTTCCTCTGTCTCCGTCTTTCTCTAGCTTGCAAATGCATCTTATGTCAAAAATCTAAAAAAAAAAAAAAAAGAAAGAAAGAAAGAAAGAAAAGAAAAAAGACGTGGAATTAGTTAAGAATAAACTCTAGCAGTTAAGGGAGCTAGATCTCACGTGGCTGACCACTGATCAAATCCCAGCCCTTAGCAGCTTGAAAATCACCAGACACATGTGTATGTGTGCCCTGAACCCCAACAGGATGGAGAATGGAAGAAGAACAGATTGCAGTGTGACCACACCTCATTGGGGCTTGGTTTTTCCTTATTTCCCTGTCTGTGGCAAATGCACATACCCTCTGGCAATACACTTTAAATGGAATAAAAAGGTAAAGGCAAGCAACTGTGGGAGAAGCTCATCAACAAGCTAATATTAATGAGGGCCGTGTGCCCCACCTTTGCTCAGTGTTTAGTGTGTCTTCCGAAGAGCTCGCTCTTGGCGGTATTCATTACTCTCTGTTTTTCACTAAAAGAAAGTGAAGCTGAGGTGGAGGAGTGTTTTCTTGCCAGGTCACACAGCTCACTAATGGAGACAGATTGGAAATCGCTAGTCCGCCCTCTCATGGGGGCCTATGAGCTCCTGCAGGTTCACAGCTGGGAGTCCCCCACCTGCTTTAGTGCACTCTGGAAACTGAGTGTTTTCAGGGTACCTAGAATTTGTTTGAATCAAGTATGGTGGGGTGTGCTGATAAGGGAATGACCGTCGTGAGGCAAGAAGCTTGTTCTACTCACAGGCTGCTGGAATCAGGAGGCAGGGTTCCCCGGCACAGCCACAGGGAGAGACACCAGGGGTGGTCAGTAGGCAAAGGGTGCTCCAGAAATTTGGGCAAGGGCTTTTGTTGTGGTTTCCTGGGAAGGAATGGGTGAGATAGGTTTATAATGTAGCTAGTTTGAGTCATTTTAGCCTGCTCTGGGGCATAGGGACTGGGCTGTCCCTAGTTGTCTGGCACCTAACCCTGGCGTGATTAGGGCAGAGACCAGGGGTCCGATGTAAAAGCCCTCTAAAGAAGTCCTTGGTGGAGGGTATCAGCTCTGGATTGCTTACATTGCATATGAGAGATACTTTCCTAATTGTTTGTTCTCTCTAGGAATTAGCCACCCTTGGGAGATACCATTCCAGTGGTGTCAACAAAGCAGAAGCCAGAAAACACGGTGAGTATACCCAGGCTCCTAGAACAGAGAACCTAAGTCAAAGCCTAAGTCAAAGTCCTGTGCTCTGACTTGCTGTGAGAGTTTCAGCCTCCAGGGCCTCTGCAGGTCAAAGCCCTGAGAAGTTCAGAGAGTGACTAGTGGAGGAGGGCTATGTTTCCCTGCAGGCTGCAGGCTTGTCCACAATCAGCCCACTCATCTGTTGTGTCTCTAATTTAATTTGGCGATGTTTATAACACTCTAAATTTCCAGATGAGGTGTAGTTTCAGACTATGATTTGTTTTAGGTAATCACCAGGTGGTTCATTTTAATTCTTATTCCATTCTAATTCTACAGTGAGATGCCAACTGTTTTTTAATATTTCCTCATTTGTTGTTCTTTTTAAGCTACACAAATACCGTAAGAGCTATAGAAATTTGTAGATTCTGTGCCATCAATTAAGCATAAGGTAACTTATGCTGTTCCTAAATCATTTGGAATGTATTTGATGTTTCAGTCTCAGAGTGGAGACATTAACAAAGCACTTTGAATAGGGGAGCATAATGAAGTGAACCATATTCAGGTTCTCTTTGCACGTTGCTGTGGAAGGAGACTTGCCATTCATGATGCTGGTGTTAAGAGCCCTGGCCCTGGGCCACACTGAGGGAGATAGAAGTGATTGCATTGGTGGGCACTCAACTTCCTGGTTTTATTGCCATGAGGCAGAGGACTCGGGAACCTACTGCTGTCCTCTCCTCTCTTTTGCACACCAGCTCCTTCTAAGTTCTTGTGAAAATACTCAGAACAGCCTTCTTTTCTCTAGTTGCCCTTTCCCAGGCAGGAAGCACAGAAAAGTTTTACAGACACTGAGACTTGTCCCACTGTGAAGAACAATCGCCCATATCCTTCAGGTCAGGTACCTTTGTCAGCCCCAATGTTAATTCCTCAGTGTTCAGGATCCCAAGGGGCTGCTCCCTGGAAGTCCACACATCTTTTCCCCTCTCCTCTCCTCTCTCCCCGTCCCCCCATTTCCCTCTCCTTTTCTCTTCCTCTCCCTCTTTGTCCCTGTCTCTTCTTAGTCTGGGACCCTGGCCCCTCCTAATTTGCCCTTCACTTTAGAAAAGAGACTTCGCAGTTAGTCTCTCTTGAACAGAGAAGCTCTGAGTTCAACGACCACCACTGCCTGAAACTCCCACGAGTACCCAGAGGAGACCTTCTGGGAGCTCCCTAGAAATGAGGGAGGGAACGGTTTAGGCTGTGTCCCATGGAGGAGTTTCAGAAATCCAGTTAATTGCAGAAAGAAAGCCTGGGCAGGAGTCTGTCGTGAGCAGTGATGCTTCAGGAAGCCACTCAGGCCCTGGTGCTCCCCCGGACCCCTGCTGGTTCTGGGACAGCCCCTGTGAGCCATCACCTGGTGATCAATTCCTGTGTGGTTTTCACAATTAAATAACGACTCAGTGACTCCTTCTCTTGGCCAGGATGCCCTTGTGGAATTTGGGTCGTTTGACCCTTCCTGCCTGATGCCCACTTGCCCGGATTACTGGACCTACTCGGGGTCTCTGACTACCCCGCCCCTCTCTGAGTCTGTCACCTGGATCATTAAGAAGCAGCCAGTAGAGGTGGATCATGATCAGGTACGTTCTCACCACCATTGCCGTCCTTGGAAATCCTAGCCATTTAAAACAGGGCTGGGCTCGAACATTGGCATCAGTTTTAACATCTTGGAATGCTTACACATTTTTATTAAAATATGCTAACGCTTGTCTTAATTTGGATATGAATTGAGAAACACTTCAAGTTAACTGGAAGGAAAAGCAAAAACAGAAAAACATAAGTTTTTTACTTCTATACATGACAATGATGTGTTTTACTATGCATGCACTATATAGAATATATAAAATCAAGACCTTTTTAAAGGGAAAAATTAAGACTGGAAATGGATGTATTCAAACCCTTTATAAGCCATAAGGCAGTTCTGCTCCAGAATTTCAAGATAAAGACAGAATCTATCAATGACTGTTCAGAAATTTTAATGTAAGTCGGTACTTTTATACTTGAAATTTATTTTCCCCTTAGAAACTAAGTTTAAGCGGTGGTTACTACATCAACACACAGAATCCTTTTTAATTCATAAAGTAACTAAATTATAACTGCTTTTTATGTATTAGACTTTTAGTGATTGAAATTTTTTTCACAAGCACAAAAGCGTGTGCCATTAAACCCTCTGCTGGTCCCCAGTATTTAGTTCTTACTTTGATGTGTGATGGTTCTTGTGTGATGGTTATATGAAGGGACTTTGAAGGTTGGTGGATATGGAATTAAAGTACCAGTTTATTGGGACTAGAAGATGGTGTAATGGTTACCTCACTGGACTCCATGCCAAGTTTTTTTATAATCATTCTTCAGGAATGTTCTGAAGATCCCTCATGTAAGATAACATTAGAGGAAGCTGGGTAGCCACCTCGCACCATCAACATTCAGGACCAGATTATTCTTTGTGGTGGGGGGCCATCCTGTGCATTGCAAGATGTCTAGCAACATCCTTGTCTTCTGCCTACTGGATGCCAGAAAGGCTACTCCTTCCCCTCGCAGGTGGTGACAACTAGTAATGACTCCTAGGTCCAGCTGGAGGCACAGTGATAACATAGCTCTGCAATTCTGGACACACGTGGGAAGGTCCCAGGTCCTTGTCCTGAGGCCTTCCTGTATGTGCAAGGCATATGCATACATGTATGTGTGATCCAGGCTGGCTGAGGCTGGGGTGGATTGTGGCATGAAAACCCTGTTGGGGGTTCCTGCCTCCCTTTCTCCCCCAACCAGGTCTCTCTCTCTTGTGGAAGAAATAAATTTTTAAAAAATATCTCCAGACTTCCTCTGTGTCCATTACAGACTCACCCCTAGTTGAACACCACTGTTATACACTATCTCTAATATCAACTAATAGATAAAATCCTTTACCTCTTGGTGCATGAGAAGGAGAAGAAACACATGTCTTCAATGTCTATGAGAATGGCTTTTAATTAACACATGAATTTACCAGCAGAAGATATATTTCTCTATGGTTCACATATAACAGCCTGTAGCTCACCAGAGGGTGGTGGGCTGTTAAAAGTTCTTTAGCCCCAAACTACAGTGACACCTACTGGGTTACATTGTAGAAAGGACATAGAAGGCCAAGATCGTGCCAGAAGTGAAGAAAGAAACTCCTGCCCCTCCCAAAGCTGAAACAAAAGCAAAGGCTTTGAAGGCCAAGAAGGCAGTGCTGAGAGGCATCCATATCCGAAAAAAAAGATCTGCTTTTCACCTACCTTCCTAAGACCCAAGACACTGAAGCTCTGGAGGCAGCCCAAATATCCTCAGAAGAGTGCTCTCAGGAGAAACCAGCTTGACCACTACACCATCATCCGACTCTCTCTGACCACCGAGGGTGCCGTGAAGAAGACAGAAGACAATAACACACTTGTTATTGTGTTCACTTGTGTTCACTGTGGATGCCAAGGCCAAAAACACCAGATCAAACAGGCCGTGAAGAAGCTCTATGATATGGATGTGGCCAAGGTCAACACCCTAATCAGGCCTGATGGAGAGAAGAAGGCAGATATGCGACCAGCTCCTAATTATGATGCTTTGGATGTTGCCAACAAAACTGGGAGCATCTAAACTGACTCCAGCTCTAAATATATACTTTTTCACCATTAAAAAAATAACAAGAAATTCTATGCATATTGGAAAGAAAAATACTTTATAAAAAGTCCATACCCAATGTTCACTCTGATGTCATTAGTATCTTAAGCGATATCTTAGATATATATGAAAAGTTATTTCTACCATTATGAACTGTCTTAAGAAGAAAAGTATACCATAGGAATAGCTGTGTTTTCAAAATAATATAGCTGGGAACATTCCATAAATAAGGAGTTGGCAAAAAACACAAAGGGGTTCATTAGGGAGTAGACAGTGTTAGGGATCTCATTCCTCCACATCGGCTGACTGACCTTACCCCTGCATCCTAAAACACTTGGCCTTCCCTGACCTCAAAAACCATTTGCAGCTCCCTTGTTAAGCTCCATTTAGTATCTTCATTGTTTGGCCATTCACTTCAGATCTGGCTCAAATCTGTTGCCAGATCTTGAATTCATTGCCAACTTCTACTCTCTGTCTCTCCCAAGCCCACTCTGCACTTCAGCATTAGGACCAGGCCATATCTTCCTTCTGCACTTGGTCCTGAGGGACACATTCTTAAGAGTGATACCACCTAGGAATAGACTTACGAACTTACGCACTTACCATCAGTTACCCTGCAGCCCTGGACACTTCGTTTTTGGGATCAGATCTTTAACTATTAGGGAAAATGTGCCTCACTCTACTCCAAGATTACCAGTAGAAATAGAAAAAGAGAAGTGACATTAGTATTCAGATAGAAGATGATCTATACATGGAAGTATGAAGACGGAAAATTATAGGAAATCAACATTGTGAGTCTTCAGACAAATCCTGGATGGCCATTTCCTTAACTGCTTACTTTACGGAAACTGAAATTAACCTCCACTCTAGGGGAAAGAAACACACATCACTTTTACTGACAAGAGTAAATTCATTTTTTTAGAGCATCCAACTGTTCACTTTTGCTATAGGGCATACATGCTCACTGGAGAAAGAGAGACAGAGATGGAAAGTGAAAAGGTTACCTGGGAATGGCCACACCACAGTCCCTTATCCATTCTCTTGTTAGGATTTTGGGCACCCAGGTATGCATATGCCCCCTCAGGCGTTCCTCAAGGGGCTGGCTTTGGGACTCTAACCACACAGATTGACCATGTGGGATCCAGCTGTCTTAACCACTATGCCACTGGCTTACTCTTCAACTGTACATTTTTACCACAGTGGAAGACAGCGCCTCCCTTCAGTAGTTGTCTACAATTTTCAGACTGAGCAGAAACTCCTCCTGGATTTTCTCCCAGTAAGTGTCAGGTGCAGAAGCAGAAGCAGCCCCTAGGCCCTCTGCCCAGAGCCAGGTGCCTGCGACCAGCCATGCAAGGACCCAGGCTTGAGCTTCCCTGGCTCGGAGACAGCATGTGATGCCCCACGCTGCCCCCGCGCATACTGATGGCCCCATGTCCGCGGCGCGCGGGCTAGCCCTGCGTGGTCAGGGGGTCCCGAGGCTCCGCGCGCTGTCCTTGCGCCCCGAAGCCAACTGCCACCAGAGCCCTTCGCGACGGTCCTCCAGCCGCGTCCGCAGACACCCAGAGGGTCTGGAAGCCCAAACCGCACTACAGGCCCCGCCAGCCCATGGGCAGCTACCTGGCCACGTACCTGGGCGCGCCCAGAGCTGCGCTGCCACCGCCCGCCCCGCAGCCAGGCCCACGACCCAGGACAGCCCGCCGCCTCCAGGCTCCTGGTCCCTGCCAGGCTCTCTCCTGCAGGCCTGAGCGCTGGGGCCAGACCCAACCCCTTCCCACACCGCCCTGCTGGGACTACGCAGGAGGCCACAGGGCCAGGCTCCCTGGAGCCAAGGACAGGAGGCGCTTGCCCCACAGGCGAACCCCGCAGTCCATCATGGCCCTGCGTTTCATCCACGCCGGGCTCAAGGGCTCCGAGCTCTGGCTCAGGAAGGTGCGGAGCTCCCGGCCGGCCCGCAGCCCGGTGACCATCCACATCGCCCCTCCTGCGCACCAGGGCAGCTTCTACAGGCGCCAGACCGCCCAGGGGGACCCAGACCCCTGTGCCAGGGAGACCGTGCTCCGCGCCCTCCTCCAGTGCAACAAGGGGCAAAAGAAGTTCAACGGGCCGCTCTGGTTCGAAGATCCGGAACCCAGAAGGCAGCAGAGCCCAGTGTCTCGGCCGTCGGCCTTCCAGCCCGTGCTCAGCAAAGGAGTGGTCCGGCCCTTCGTGCCCAGGCCAGGGCAGCTGAACAGAAGCCTCCGCTCCAGGGCGGCCCCGTCTGCCAGCCAGGATGGCCCAGCTGGCCAGCTCTCATCGCCCTTGTCCGCGTGCTGCCCGACCTGCAGCAGGGGCAGTGCAGCCTGGTACCCAGCCCCAGAGCCTAGGCTGGAGAGCCGGGAGCAGGTGCGGCACTCCCTGGGGGCCCCGAGGCCTTAGTCCACTCAGCAGGAGCCACCTGGTACTGGGGGCTCCATTAGCCTCTGAGCACACCTGGCCTGCAGGCGCCCTTGATCCTTAGAGGCAGGGGCCCTCCTACCACCTCCTCACACGTGCCCCACAGCCCTGCCAGCCTATGACCCCTGCTCTACCCCGACGCGAGTCATGGAGGCCACCGGGTCACTCCGCACCGCTTCAGCTGACGGGTCTCCTTACGCTGTGCAGCCTCCACCACAGGACTTTGTTCATGTCCAGACCCTTGCCTTTCCACTGGGAGCCCACTCACCCGGAAGGTGGGCTTCTCCCCCTTTGCCCAGTTTGTGTGGGTGAATATTAGTTCTTGTTAAATAAAAGGAAGATTTTATTGTCGAAGATATGGCTGAGCTCTTCCTTTCCAAGACTCTTACACTAAGGTTTCTCCAACCTGGCACCATGGACTTCTGGGCCAGATCATTCTCCGTGGTGGGGCTGTCTGGTGCATTGCAGGGGTTTAGCAGCATCCCTGGCCTCTAACCGCTAGGTGCCAGCAGTACACCCGCACTTGTCACAGTCAGCAGGCACTGCCAACAACTCTGGGACAGGGAGGTTAAAGTTACTCTGGTGGAGAGTCCCTACGCAACAGTGACCTCTACTGGCAGAAACAGCCAAGCTTGGTGTTCCAAAGTCTGTGGTTTTGTAATGCAAATGAAAAATAGAGAGATGAGGGCCAGCAGATGGTGTGGTGGTTGAGGTGCTGGACTTCACATGGCTGACTGTAGTTCGAGTCCCAGACCTGGAGGCTTGCTTTCTCACTTTCCATTTCTCTCTCATCCTCTCTCTTGTCAAATTAAAAAATAATAATAAGAAGCTGGTGGAGAGTCCCTACGCAACAGTGACCTCTACTGGCAGAAACAGCCAAGCTTGGTGTTCCAAAGTCTGTGGTTTTGTAATGCAAATGAAAAATAGAGAGATGAGGGCCAGCAGATGGTGTGGTGGTTGAGGTGCTGGACTTCACATGGCTGACTGTAGTTCGAGTCCCAGACCTGGAGGCTTGCTTTCTCACTTTCCATTTCTCTCTCATCCTCTCTCTTGTCAAATTAAAAAATAATAATAAGAAGAAATCAAATTAATAATTCTTTTAAGACCATATAGAGAAAGATGAAGAGAATAAAATGAAATGGTGCACACTTTACAAAAAATATTTCCACCATCTTTTTCTAATGCTTTGGGGAGTAAATAATTCCTGTATTCTGGCCCTTACTAAAATAACAGGAAATGCAAAATTGTTAAAAATGGCCTGTTATTTCAAACTTTTCAAATTGGCAAGACACTAAAAGTTAAAGAATACCAAGTGCTATTGAAGATGGACTTGGCGTCACAGGTGGTGCTGTAGAAGCCAATGGGTCTAGGTACTCTGGAATGGCATTTACTAGTGTTTCCTAGAATAGAGCACAGCTACCAGAATCTTGTGTGCACATCAACAGGAGATGTTCTTTGCAGTCCTCTCGGTCATTTCAGAGAATGGGAACAACCTAAGTGTCCATCAAAAAGGGACTAGATATAGGAAATAGGATATAGTATCTGAAGGGAACACTACTCCACAGATTAAAGGACATATTGGGTTTCTCAAACTTGACACTATCAAGCCAGATCATTCTATGTTGTGGGGATACCCAGTGCATTATAAAATGTTTAGCAGCAAATCTGTCCTCTATCCACCATCATTAAGGCCCCCTCCAGTTGTGACAATCAACGATACTACCAGGCATCGCCAAATATCCCTTGGAGAACAAAATCATCCCTTGGCAGAAAGCACTGAACTAGAGCTACCAATTTTTAAAATAACTTTCTTTTTTTTCTTTTCTTTATTATTATTTTTTTTAAGTTTGCTGTAAGGCATGTGTGTTAACCAGTGAGAGAGAGAGTGAGAAAGCAAGCCACCAGGTCTGGGACTCGAACTTTGGCAGGCCAATACTTCACCACCACACCACCTACAGGACCTGAACTACCTATTTTTTAAATAAAGGATACATCTGAAAAATACACCCTCAGTGAAAAAGATCTGAGGTGGAATATTATGTGCAGCCCATGGCATTCATATAAACTAAACAAATACCATAAAATGCTTCAGGCATAATAGAGAAGGCCAGACACCAGTTAAAGGATCATTTGGAAACTTTGCCATTGTTCTTTCTATCTAAAGCCTCTTTAAATGTTGTTTAAACATGAGTTTCATGGTGTTTCCCATTAGAGAGAGAACATAGCTGTAATCAAAGTCCCATCTCCATGGAGCTTTCTTTCTAAGTGGGTAGAGAGAGAAGATAAATAAATAAATTCATAGAGTGTCAGAGGGTGAGGTAAGTACTATAAAGAAACATGGAGGAAGAAGAAGATGCAATATTCTGTCAACATAGGTGTGGCCCCAAACACTCTCCTCTGTCCCCATCACCACAGAACTACAGTATACCTTACCATAAATTTAAGTTCTTTAAATTTATTTGATGTTTTCACTGGGGGGCAACTCATACTTTAATACAGTACCTCAGTACATAAAATGATAATATTTTATCATTTCATTGTACATGAGTTACTAGGAAGAGCTGGAGCTTAGCCTGTCAACAGGGGTGCACTGTTGGTATTTTGGGTGGGAAATTCCTTGTCACATGGGACTACCCTGAGCCTTGCACCACATTGACTATCTGTCATCCTCACCCTCTACCTGCCACAGTACTCTTCAGTCACAGAAGTCACCTCACAACCCACCCCATTTCTATATGCTCCACGGGTCGGGTCTGTACTGCTCTCAAGTAAGAAGGACTTCAAAATCTTTTCCAAAGTTTCAAGGTCATGAAAAATATAGGTAGACAGAAAAAATATCACAGAGCAGATCACACTAAGGAGATGTAGATTTGGGGACAGAAAAAGAACAGTAATAGAAAAACTGGGGAAAACAAAAAAAATTGATAGTTGAAGTAATAATGTTGAACCAATTTTAATTTCTTTGTTTTGCCAGGTCTACCAAGGTTATTTAACAGGACAACTGTGAAAAGCAAAAAATGCTTCAGACATTTCCAAATGTCCTTGAGTGCAGTGCAGGGGACGAAACCTCTCTACATTATCTCCATAAATCTATTGTAAATCTAAGGGTTTTTTTCCAAATTAAATACACATATACATATTTACAAATACAAGAACAAAATAATTATTTAAAAATTGCCTAGGCAAAGTAAAATTATCTACAAGAAAAACAGCACTATGCAATGTTGTGATAAATAGTTCCTACCTGCTTCATTGATTAAAAACATAACAGATACAAAGATACTTGGAAATTTTTTTAAAAGATGTAGATTAATACATGCTATTGGTGCCTATTGGTATAAGGATAGTCTTAATTATCCAATTTTTTTTTAACAAAGTAGTTCCGTTATACATTTGAATGTATCAACTATTTATTAGGATTGGACCCTGCACTGGTATCTTACACAGCAACATTTTCATCTGTTCTCCATGATTAATATTATGAAAAATGACAAATAGTTTCAGCTCCTTGGGACCTTACTCAACACAAAATCATTAAGCATC